TTCCACCCTATCTGTAATTACCATCCTTTATCTCAAAAATGAAAAAAGAAGAAAAACAAATAAATAAAAATAGACTAGGACAAAAAAATTCATTTTTTACTTCGAATATTCTCACAAAAGAGCTTTTTCTGTGTTAGCTATTCATAACTAGAACTGATAGACTAGATGGAAAACAACTAGTCAACAGCCAACTCATGGTCTACTTTGATTTATCTAGTTGTGAGATACGGTTGACACTCTTATATCGCATCTACAATCTTAAAATACGGAGCGTGATTTTGCGGAAAAAGGACGCGAACCATGAATCTTCGTACTCATAGTTCCTTAAACTAACTACTACCCCAACACCCCTACCCCCCCCTCCCAAAAAAAAAGACTAATAACTGACATGAGCTAAACAGAGTTTGTGTTTTGTTTGATTATTTGTATTCATAATTTTTACTATTTGGGTTCTAGCAAACGTCCGCTACGTTGTGGCATTACGATATATTTGGAACTTTATGTGTTCAGTAGCTTATTTATTTTTATTTTAAAAAAACATTTTTGGAATATTTCTTAAAACGTTGTAAAATATCGCATTTTAAATGATGGTTCTGACTTCTAAACATCTTTCTGAAATAAGAGGATAATATTAGGTTGTAAGAGATGAAATTCCAGCATAACGTTATTTTACCCTTGGACAGGCTTATTTGTAATTGTTCTGTTAGTCCGTAGTAGAGTGTAACAAATAGTATATGTGATCAAACATAGTGGAAAAATATTCAACTTGAAAACGACATTATAATATATGACGACATACACGTATTTAAACATTTAAACAGCACGTTTAAAAACAGACTGCGTGTATCTCTGATACATTATAAAAAACAAATACGCTTTAAACACCCAGAAAAAAAGTAAACATTAATAAAAATTACTCATTTTAATGTCTATTTCGCAAAAAAAAAATATCCACCAATTAATAAAACAACAACAAGAAACGAACGTTACAGTAAAAACTATAAAATCTGTAAATATTCCTGTTATTCTCGAAGCTAACGACACTGTTTATTTCTATGATATGTGTGTAATAACAGCTTTATTTTATTTTTTATTTGGGATTCCAATAAGATATGTTTTCAAAATAATTACTGGTCAATAATCAAGTATGAGTGAAAACATAAACAAGTTAAGTTCAATGTCATAACATTGAGCTTCATTACAATAAGGTCAAGATCAAGATTAAGGTCAATATTATTCGTTGTATAATTCACCCTAAGAGCGAAAATTTAAACAAATCTATTAATATATGTAACAGAACTAAATAATTTTATCACTCTGATTAGCAGTTCCAAATTAAGTTTTGTTTATTTTTTAAAGCAAAGCCACATTGGGCCATATGCTATGTCTACCGCATCAGCTTGTACCCAAAAAAACAAGAAGATTAAGGATCACAGATACATCATCTTGTACCAAAAATAAGATTAA